CTCCCAATTATAGCAAAGGAGAAAGCCAAAATTGCTGGGTCCTGAAGCCATTATACTGATCAGCTTTAAATTCTGCAAAATCGTATGAAGACATGTTATCAAAACAGAAATAATTTAGAAAACTTTCTTTTTTACATTTCATCAAAAATAGATCAGGTTTTGAAAACTACGAGGAAGTTATACTGAAAGAATAAGTACAAAACATAAAGAGAATAAGGAAAAACTGCTTTCCTACTCGAAGGGTAGCAGGGCTAGAATCAATGAAAACAGGAGATGAACCTTCCGGACACAAAGCTGTGTTCTTTAGTGGCAATTTTTGAAGCTGTAGGAACAAAACCACCTGAGGATCTGGCAGTAGCTTTCCTTTACTTTCCATTAGAGTTGTTGGAGCGCCAACATTTTTTTTAGTATTTCTTTAATGCAATTTCACAGGATATCCTCCTTCAGCTCCTGCATTGCAGTGCTGCATCTTTACCCCAAGCCTAGTGCCACATGGCAACCCTCGCTGGAAGACTGGAACTAACGCAACTTTCCCACAGCTGCTTCTTGGAATCAGCTGCGTACACGGGCTTAAATGGTGCATAGCTGTTGCAAATATTGCTTCTCCAGGGCAACTGCCCTCCGGACTGGATTGTTCTAACCTCTTTAGCGCAGTGAAGAGGGTCAAGAAACTGAGCTTGTGTTTCTTTCTGAATAGAGCTTGTGCCTTTAGATGAAGAGCGTTTTAAAGGACTTGGAGGACAAAGTATCTGAATGTCTGGCCAGCATGTGAGCGTCTCACCTTGCACCTCTCTTTCTGTCTCTCTCAAGTTGCGTAGTTGGTGACATATCTGCCTTGTGATGGAGTAGTTAAGGAGTGCTGCATCTCTAGCCTGTGTTAGAAAAACATTATTTTCTATCTAATTGGAGCCACTGAATATGTAGGTGTACAGTTCAAGCTAGTCATCCAGAGGAGGACTGATTTGCACGGTGTCTAAGAGTTGTTTTTGGACTCTTGGAGGTCTAAACTGGCTGCTAGAGTCTGCTAGACTCTATGGCCACATTTACTCTCTAGTAGTGGCATTTGATATACTCTGGGTCCTGATCCTGCTGTGATCCAGACCAAACTCATTGCTGTGCACTGGCACTTCTGCTTGGGGCATATACCAATGTTTTCCTTCCATGGAAACAAGGTAGAAGGACCCTTGTCTCTGCCTAAGTTTCACTTCATTTTGAAATAGAAAAATTACTGGGAATATCCCAAGACCTCAAAACTTGGATGCATTTCACTTTTTGTGATCTAGACTTACTTTGGAAAGGCTTAATTCATTTGTAGGCTGAATCTACACAGTGCTGCATAAAGGGAGAAAAAAATCCTTCATGTCTGACTCTTACTATGAGTAAAATATGGTCCTTGAAGCTTACTGACAGACATTTTTGCTTTTCCCTCCACTTTTCTGTGTTCTGTGCATTTAGTTAAGTCACATTTATCCAGCTTCAGAGATCTTCCTGCTTTATGTACCTCTGTTATATGGATACATTCTCTCAGGCATACTTCTTATGCACAAGTTAATTGATAAAAGAAAAAAAAAAAACACACAGGTGCAGCAGGTCTCCAGACTAAACAACTTTATGAGTACTTCCATGTGTCTTATTTGTTGTAAACAGATGCACACACATTTAATTTAATTAATTTCATGCACATTAGCAATGCTATCAACCCTGACCTGAAGAGAAAAAAGATGATGCTGCGAGCTGCTCATTCAGAGACTCTGTAAATTCTTATGCAGGATAGCCAGAGTGAGCCAACTTCAGAGACCACATTCAAAAAAATATAACTGCTTATCCACCTGGAATGTGCCACAGAGCCTGACCTGAGCAGAGAGGTCTCTCTGGAGACCTGACTCTATTTTTTTTTTTTTTTTTTTTTTTTGCTCCTGAAGAGGCTCACTCTTGATTACTCACATGTAATCTACACTTCCTTGAACACGACATCTGAATTTGATTCACCCCGTTTAAGCTGATCCTACTTACATAATAAGGGATTGGAGGCGAGCAATGCAACACACAAAACTTTCAGCGGCTCCAGTGTTAAATGAGGACTCTCTCCAATGCGATACTTGAAGTGTTCATGTATTACTGCTACTTACCATGGCACGTTTTCCTATCAGGCAGCAGAACAAAACCTCTTGGGCAGGTGCAGTAATAGGAACCAGGGGTGTTCACACAGCCCAAAGTACAGCCGTGATTCCAGAAGCCACATTCATTGATATCTGCCAAAAGAAGCACTTGCTGTGTTAGAATAACGTCATCAACTGGTGTCAGGGAACTAGATTAATTAGAGAAACAAAGAGTGTTCAAGAAGTACCTCTTTTTCCAATTTGTTTTACAAAAATATGTTGGTTCTAATAAATGGTAAAAGAGCAAGTCTGCAGACCTTATTCAAATAAGCTTTAAAAAACCTACTAGCAAAATCTGCTCAGGTTGCATTTGTCCAGCACAGGTGCCTACAGGACTTTCAACAGTATGCCTTCCCATACAGATTCCAGTGCCAGTTAAATCCTGTGTACACCCAGAAAACTTACATTAGACATTTTCTTCAGACAAAAATTCTTCTAAGAATTTTGGCTCCACCACAACTTAAGTAAAATTCTCAAAACACAGAAGTGATTTAGGAGGTGAAATTCAGAAAGCAATCCTGGTGCATTGCCTGAGAACTGGAGAGCTGCTGCTCAGGCAGGTCTGTAAATCCCATAAGCTAGGAATTTTGATGCCTTTACGTCTTTTCAAATCTGGTCATGTAGCGAAAAAGACACTTCTAAAAGTGACATGTTAAATATTAAGTCAAGTTAGATTTTTATTAAAACAATCCAGATTAAAACATTTAGAAGCATGTTAAGAATTCGTGTCCTTTTTGAAAGTGGAACTTAGGAGAGCCATCTTGTTGCAGGATTTTTCAAGGTCTCACCTTTGGTAATATATCTGTTTTAATTTTAATTTAAAAATTAAATAAGCGTCCATAAGCATGTCTGCTTACCTGAAGCTCATTTAACTACTCAGGCTAAGGCAAATATTTCTCAAAAGAATAGCACCTGTGACACTTTCATAGGTCTCCTTTTAGACTATTTCAAAACCTTAAAGGACACAAAACTGAAATGGCACAAATGGAATTTTTAAGACCTCAATGTTTTTTCATACTCAAGGTATCAGTACAGTAAAAGAACAGAAGAAATTTTTTCATCTGATGGAATAAAGCTGACATGAGATTCACATATTACCTTCACAAAACTGTCTATTTTGACTTAAAATAAAGCCACTCGAACATTTACACCGATGAGTCCTTGAATCTGGCCTGCAGATTCTTCTTCTGCACTTTTCTTTGTTCAAATCACAGGTTACTTTTTCTGGAAAAACAAATATAGTGTAAATGTAATGGAGCTCTTACCATATCAACCTTCAAGGAGAAACTGTTTTGAGCAAAGATGCTCAGTGATGTGTCTTCTTCACAGCTACTTGCTCAATCCAAGGAACTTCTTATTAATAGCAAACAACTTCTATTATTTTCTATTGGTAAAATCAGGACAAAGAGTCACTATAAAAATGAAATACTTGGAAGACTAAGAGGAGGTCTGTGCCAATGATCATTTCTAGCTCCGTGCCAGCACAAGCAGATCTAGAGAGAGCCTGAAGTAGGGGACTGTTTGGTTTGGGCACGTATCTATAATGGCTGTGAAAGGGAAAACCCTATGTAGCAGGCTTCATGTGCCACCAGTCCTGCACAGTACTATGTGTTACCAGGCTCTGTGGAACACTCAGAAAGATGAGAGCAACAGAGAGAGAGCACACAGGTAAAAAGAGAGAGGAGAGAGATAAAAAAGAGAGAGTATACAAAGGCTGGGAGTCATTAGCACAAAGTAGTGCTCAAGTCTCACATTATTTAGCAAAAAAATAGTTGGACAGATCGTAATGACCATACGTTTCATTTGGACAAAAAGTATTATCACGGTCTGGAGAATCTTTGTACTGGAGTGGATCCTGGTTTCTGAGGATGAGAAGTACAAGTGTTATAAATCTGGAACTCAAATTTAAAACTCAGAATGTTTCTGATGTCCAACGAGATGTGCTCAAAGTTTTTCAAATGAAGCAGAAAGAAGTACCCAACAGATCTTCAGAAGCCTTCCCACTTCTCCTGCTTCACAGAAAAATGCAAACGGGTATTCGAGTGTCTTTTTTCATGGGAAGGATTTGCAGACCCTCGTGTCTGTGCTCAGCTATCTTTTAGAGCTGGTTCTTTCACAGATATGCAACACTCATGGTTTTATTTTTGTCTCCCAAACTATTATTTTTGTTTTAATCTTCCTAATCTTCTTCTGGGGTTGCTTGCCCCTCTCCCAAGCTAAGAATAGCTGAACTGCTGCTCCTGGACGTGGGTATGTAGCCACCCACACACAATGCTGTCTTTGCCCTGTGCTAGCTGCATAACGTTTAAGAAATCATGGGCTTGTACAGGCAAATAAATTTGCATGTGAACAATTTTCTTGTATTATTTCTAATTCACCCTCTAAATTCCAAGAGATGGAAAGGAGCACATATTAAAGTTTGACATTTAGTCTTCTGCTAGCCACAACAGAGAAAATGCTGGCCATGACAGATCACATCTTTAAAAGAATGAAATGATGTCTCAGACAGACACTTCAGCTTGGCTGAAATCATCAACATTGCATCCATTTGCATCAAACGGATTAATTCTTCTCTAACAAAAGTTGTATCACTAGATGAAAAGTGATGAATGGATGACTAGATGAATATTATCTTTGTTAGCAAGCATGTTAGCTTTTGAGAGACTTCAATTTTACATAGTTATGGCTGAGCCTCTCTTTTGTAGAACTAGTTTTGGATTGGCCCCTTCATCTTTGTGCCTACTGCAACTGAATCAGGCACATAGAGCAGTGGCATGTCTAATCTTCAAATACAGAACTCATTAGAATGACAAAAGTACAAGTACATGCAGTCACAAACCAATATAGAACAGAAACAAGACCACATTCAAGACTGCATCTTATGCTTATCGCTGGTGCTAGTTTTTTGCCCCTTGCTTGTACCATTATTGGTCTAATGAGACCTAAGACACTCAGGAATAGCAGAAGAAATCACAGTAGCAATAATTTTGCTATCTTGGCAATCTCAAGAAGATATCCTTTTTTAATGAAATAATCATTAGAATTCAATATCACCAAATCAACAGGGGTAAAAAAAAAATCACATTTCAAAACTTAAAGTGAATGTGACTAAATTATGAATCAGAAAAGTTTTAAAGGTAATATTTTCTGGAAGGAAAACCACTACAAACCATACTTTTTAGTTTGCTTGGGTTTTGGGGGTTTTTCTCCTCCCATCACCTCTCTCATATGGAAACAGATGTTCTCAGATAATAGTCTGATGCTGATATGCCACGCTGGAAGGAAACACAACATAATTCCTCAAAAAAACATCCTAAGTGTACTGAATATCATTAATCTGTCAGAGAAGGTATTTTTTAAAAATTCCAGAGGCAGTCCTTGAGATTTTAAGGTAATTAAGATATTTTATGAGCCATTAATAAAAGTGTGAAGAACATTCCAGCAGGCACCTATAAATACACATACTGCATCAAATCTAGGGTTAGCTGTCAAAGAGTGTTGAGGTAAATTAGAGGCCATCCTTCAGATACTGCTGTACTAAAGTTGTTGTGTGGTGTCATAGCAAACACAGAGCTGAATTAACGCCCTTCTATGTACTTATTGGTCCTGACCAATCCAGTAAAGCCTTCTGAAAGAGAAAGAGAAGAGGGGACATGAGGAATGTAAGTAGTAAAGTAAATAATCCAGTAAAACATCAAATCGTATCAGTTGAGCACTTCTCATCAATTCCCTTTTCATCTGAAGGAACTCGCTGTCTCCTTTAACGAAGGTCCGATAATTCACAGCTGACACTACATGCAACATACAGTTTCTTAGCTTGTACAGAGCATCCAATTAGTCTAGGTATGCTTTTATCTCCAGGTTTCTCTGTTGTAAGATCAGCTATAAATCTCATTTGCACTCCAGGCTCATTAGTCCTCCTTTCATCCCAGTTCTTGCACTGGTTAAGCCAAGCAACATACATGCAAAGTCGAAAAGGTTCATCTGGATTCAGCCTGTTAAGCTTCTTCTACTTCCCAGACATTTTTACAATAAGGTATTTGGAATAAAAAGAATGCCTACTGCTGACGATACTTCCTATCATACAAGAATTTACTAAACATGTTGGAAATACAAGGTATATACTGCAAGGCATTTTTAAAAATTGGTAGTTTATTAATTAATAAAGGTGGGGAAGCCCTCTTTCCAGTGGAAAGACAAACACCGGAAAGCAGCCTATTCTGGTGCAAGAAGTGGAGTTACTCTTCTGAGAGAAGAACAAAAGCTAAGTGCCCCTAGTCAATGAAGAGAGGACATATGGAACACAACCAACAGGCCCTGAGGTTCAAGAGACTACTATCACGAACTACCTTTCTTGGTCATTGTTTCTTCATCTTCACACATATACAGACATGGTGACAGACACCCAAGGAGGCCTCTTGAGACCTTCCAAACCTCATTGTAACAACCCTGAGACATGTGGACATGCCACTGTCTGCACCACAAACGTGTCCTTCCCTAGTTCCTCTGTGTGAGCACACCAAACGCATCAGTTGAAAAAAGTGCTTCTATTTGCCAGGAGGACCGTTGTCCTCAAAGGAAGCACAGAACAGGTATTGTCTCCGAATGGAAGCTCCCTGTGTGTACAAGCATAAGCTTGATTTCCAGGAATACTTTCTCCTCTGCATCTCAACACCTCTTTGTATTGCAAAAAAAACATTTGAAGGAGAAAGTTCCCTTGAAGATTTTGATTTTCCCACTCAGACCAGGCTTCAGGAAGGAGAGATACCATGCTACTAAATAAAGCTGTTGGTTGGCATGAAGAAAGACAAAGCCTATTTTATAGTAGATATTTAGAAATGGGATTGGGATTGGACTAGATGATCTTTCGAGGTCCCTTCCAATCTCTAACATACTGTGATTCTGTGAAACGGTTCAAGATGTATTCACAGTTTCATTTTTGCTCATACAAACAAACACCACTTTATCCTCGTGTCTTTATACTACCTCTACCTCTGAGACCCCATGGCCATCTTCCCTTGGGAGTTCTGCAACCATCCCTTGATACACAAATGCCTCTGTTCTGTTTGCTCAGTTGTTCATATCCAAGCAAAAATGGTGACAACAGCTATTCCATTAAAGCAACAATACCCTGTGTTTGCTTTCCAGAGATCAGAGAGCAGGACCTTACTTCCCCTGGACATGCCCCACTCCCTACTGCCTCAGCAGGAAAGGAGGTCGAGCTGTCTGTCCATAGTCAACTACCTCCATCCATAGTCAACTACCTCCATTGTCTGATCCACAGTGAAAGGCAGTGACATGACCACCTCATACTGTAGGCTGCAAGCAATGTCAATTAAAGAGACCCAAGGCTCTTATTTCATAGTTATTATGGCAACTTCAAGTCTGTCTAAAACAGGCTGACTCTTAATCCAGCCATTTCACAGCAAAGCTGAGACACACACAGTATCACTTGTAGGACACACTATGCATTAAAATCCTTCAGTGCCATAATAATTGGAGGTGTTCACATGCACATTAGAATGAAACTTCCAGAAGGCAGCAGACATTTGATGAAGATAATCTACGTGGAGGATTAAAAAAGCTGTATATTTTGTGCATTTAGCAGGAAAGTACAAAAACATCTTTGTCTAAACAAAGGGAATAGGAGAACATCACATTTCTCTGCCTGTGTATTCAGATGAATGAAATGAGCAGTTCATGCTCAGCACACTTCCAGCCTGAGACTCCGGCTGGAGTTACACACACCAAGTTGAAACCTTTTCCTTGGCTTCACTGAGGCCAGGAATTTCACTGAAGAAAATTATTTCTGTGAAAAATCAGGGTATGTGACTTTATTATTCTCCCACATGCAGCTGTGTTACTACAGTTTACTTACCAAAATCCTGAGAATCTGTTCTTGCACCTGGCTGTTTAAAGGGATGTACCACTTTCATCTCCACCGGTGGAAAAAATGATGGCTCCAGGCTAATTGTGACTACAACTTTTCCAGTATACTTGTTGGCTCTCCATATCATACCAGATTTCAACTCTGAATAGTACAGGTGCTCAGCAAAGAGAGATATACCAAGCAATTGATGTCTACAACAAAGAGGAGATAACACAAAACGGCACATTACCTGATTCCTGTGTATTTACTCACTCATACATTTTCTGAGCATCTAGTTCAGTCAAGTTCACTGTAAATAAACTTTCTTTGTATTCTTATATATATATATCTTACATCATCTCACATATATGAGAATCAGATGAGGTGCCAGGGACATTCCCAAATAATCCAGCACCCAGAATCCTGCAGACTTGCAAGAAACAGATGTAAAATGGATAACCTCCATTTCTCAGAGGCTATATGAGCTGTTGTTTGGGACTGACTCAATTGACAGAGAAAGCCTAGGTATCACCACACCTCTGGTGAACCCAGCGACTAAAATGGACACTTGCTTTACTGAAGTATGTAGGTCAGATAAGTTCCCCCCTTTCACAATTTCCAATGCCTGCTCTGATGTTTCTGACTGCCCCAGGAAGTCAGGATGGAGATGAAGAGGTAGGAGTAGGGTGTTCCTAAAATCTGTCTTGCTGCTTCTCCTGTTGCAGGAATTTAGTTTCCATTTGATGGTCAGTCATAGCAGCCAGCAGGAAACACACAAGGGCCCAGTTTTAAATAAGAGGGAAAGCAGAAAATGTACTGAAAGAGGGACTTTTGGCCTCCATTTTCCAGCACATATTCCAGGCAGAAAAAGGAGAATCCGTATCATCCAGGCTCAAGGAGAAAGTGTTGACGCCCTAATGAACACCAGCCAACTTAAGGGAGAAAGGGAAAAGAATAAGGAAAAATCCAGTGAGACAGCTGGTGATGTAGGGAGAAACTAGTTTTGTCTCCATCATATGCAAGTTGTATGCTGCATATTTAAATCAGCAGGCCAGTGAAACCATGCATTTTTCTCATTTTGTGCATATATTATGCATATGCCGATCCAGCCATACTGACACAAACTGCCATAATGTAAGGTAACTTTTTTCCTGAGTAGCTCACTGAAAACATGCCCACCATGGAGTATCTGTTCCACTGCAAAGCGTGAAGGTCAAATATCAAAGGCACCCAAAAGTGCATGGGGCTAGCAGCCCCCCCAGCCGTGCTTAGCCCCAGTCCCGGGGAGGAGAGAGGAACGAGTCTGTTGCCCAGGACAGTTTTCACCCCAATTTGTTGGTGCTTGCTGGAGAGCTGGAGCACAGGGGGTTACCCGAGCCTCCCCACCCAGCAGCTAAGGAGGACAACAGGCTTAGAGGAGGATAGGAAAGACCTGATGTAGCTCAGTCTCTTGAGCACAGCTCAGACACCTGAGCTCACCCACTGTGACCTTGGGCAAATCATTTAATCTCTTTGGTTTTGGCTTCTCTAGCTGCAGAAAAAGGCCACTAATAAACACTCAGAGAGGATTTCCAAGGATTAAGTAGTTATCATTTGCTAAAAGCTTGGAAGATGGAGAGTACTGAGTGGCAGTATTATCCCTACAACAGTGACTTTTCTATCTTCCTAACAGTAGTTTTAGATTTACAGTTACAGGCCACTTGCACTACACTTGACACTCCTTATTGCGTTATGAACTGACAAAATAAAAGGGAGAATGAGGAAGAGAGCTTAACTGCTTTCTCAGGAAATTAGTGTTTTATTTCTGAGAAGCTCAGGAGAACTCACCGGACAGAATTTTTGAGCAAACGAACAGCTCTGCCATCATAGTCGCATGATCCAATATGGGAAATCTCTTTCCCATTGTCATGTTGGATCCAGTAGAGCCTTGTGTCAACCAGATCTAGGGAGATGGCCTTTATGTTTTCTGTGGTTCTTAAAACATTTCTCATATTGCTTCCACTGAGGGACACTCGGTGTATGCTGGAAACTGTACCATCTGAAGACCAAAATAATAGCCTGCAGGCAAGACATGCATGTTAAAAAAAAAAAAAAAACACAAAACAAACAAACAAAAAAAACAACCCACACACACAACCTGCCCCCCCCCCCCCCAAAAAAAACCACCACAAAAAATAAACAAACCCCACATGTGCAAGATCACATCACTGCTACACACTCCTTGCTTTATTACTCCTGTATACAGATTTTTTCAGTCTTACCAAAGTGCTTTCAGAACCAAAACTAATAATAAAGCGAGAGACTTCCTTAATACGTACCCACCTATTTCAGGAAAGACCCTTATACGTCTCCCCTTAACATAGTTCTATTAAGAATTAAAATAATTTTTGACCACAAAGCATTATCTGCTTTACAGAAGCAATATTACCACTGAAATTTGTGGGTTTTTTTACAGTTGTATTCTTATTTTAATAAATATGTTTCTGTGGGAGACTGTAAGGCTCTGTTCAGGAAGCAATGAGACACTAGAAATTTCTCTCATGTAGGTCAAGCAGGAATCAGCCCAGCTTAACCACGAAGCACTATTGTCTGTGTCTCTGCTTTGTTCAGCCACGCAGTCAGAGAAGGAAACTGGAATAACCTCTCAGCTCTGCAGGGAACTCCTGCAAACCTGGGGAAAGGGACATCTTTGAGGCAGATATGCATTGCCCTCTGCCTCTGGGGAGAAATCTATCTCCAGAAACTCTAGCTGAACAGATCACTTAAGTACTTACCTTAAAAATACCATTTCTATTCTTGTTCTTATTTTTTTCTACTTTCCTGTTGGTTATAGCAGCCAGACTCTATCATTAAATTAAGACACTGTGAAAATACAGCTCCAATACTGAAAAGAGTTATGCACTGAAGCTACTTATATGTCAAGTTATTCATGGATCAGAGCCCAGATTTACCAAGGTGACCGAGGTTAACAGCAGTTCTTCCAAAATAGCGAGTTATCCCTCATTCATGTATATTTTATTTTTTAATATTTGAGTTCAGAGTCTTTGTTTGTGTTTGTTATTCCGAGAAGCATCATTATTTTCCCTGTCTCCACAAAACTGCAGAATTTATATGTCCAAAAAATGTAACATAAAGCCAGCTTTACTATGTTTATGCTAATCTTTTGTTAAAGGCCCCCAAATGGATTAGATGTCACTGGCAAGGGACTGTACTAAACCAGTGGGAAGAATCATCCCCTGCCTCGCAGCTTTTCCTCACTGTTCCATAGTCTCCAGTAATCATAGGTTACCAATGTAGGGGTGAAAACCTGTTTCCAGGACAGTCCAATTCTATACTGCCGTTTTTAAACACTTTAATAATACCTACTTGCATTTCTATAGCACCTGTTGTTTAAGAAATGTCACTAGCCTGGAGGTTTGGACAAATGTTAGGATTCACTTTGTACAGATAAGGAAACTAAGAAACAAAGGTGGTTATAGTCTCTATGCACAACTTTTCCAAGTCAGTGTAGGGACGGGATATGGTGTGAACAAACCAGGAACATAGAAGAATGAAGATTAGAAACCAGCTTGAGTAATTCCCAGCCGTTACTGTACTTGCCCTCTATTTTTCCTTTAGTCTTAATCTTTATTTTTCAGCATTTCTAAACACCATTAGAAAATTAAATCAGTCTTACAGCAATAGCTATATTATTACTAGTAAAATAATCCTGACTGCTAATATCCAGATACAACTTTTGAGAAAAAACTCTATTATTAGGGTATCACATTGACTTTCATTCCTTAAGAGCTGCACCCATTTGAAGCAAGACATTGTTCACATCAGATTTAGCTCATGTTTATGCCCGTGCACGTAAACATCGTGGGGTTTTAATTCACTTCATATTAAAAACAGAGCCCTCAGAGTTTTCACACAAGCAAATTGCCAGAGAGCGTTAAAATTATATTAGACTTCTCGGAGTCTACTTTCTTTACAGGTTATTACTGGCTTACCGGCCCTTCTGTAAGCACACAAGTACAGCTTTTATGCATGATGAATCACACCTAGGTGAATATACGCATTTGAGTCTCCCCAAATTTTCACATAAGTTCAGCAAATATATGCCTATGATGCCATTTGTAACATGTGTTTTGATGGCATTTGGCAGTGGGTTTGAGGACTTGTGAATATTCCCAAGATTGGCAAGTACTACATTCAAAAGCAAATCAG